CAAAAACAAAAACAAAAACCTTTGTATAAAAATATTTTTTAACAATTTATTTGCATTTTGTACACTAGTTATAATAGTCCATTGATTTCCAACCACTGCCTGCTTTTACCCTTTCTTTCATGAACTGATTTTGGTTCACAGAGTGCAAGAGGTGGAAGTATCTTACAAATCCTTTGAGAGAAAGATGCTGTGGGCCACAGAGGTCACACAACTAAATTAAGACCGCTCATGCTTAGAGATGGAGCAATCGCTCAAGCCCAGATTTCAAAGCTTTACCCACCAGTCCTCATGGCTTCTGTTTCCTAACCTGAGAAAGTTGGCCCTCATCGTAGAAGCAAAAGCAAAGTTAACCTGAAATAAAAAAATCCTGCTGAATAATGTGCAGCAGTTAAAAAGGAACTGGTGAATTTATACATACAATAGTATGCAATTAATATAGAATAATATCTACAATATACGGTTAACACGTTTAGGGGAAAATGGAGAATAGTTTGCTATCATGTTTTTTAAAAAGGGGAGCTACAAATATGAATGCGTGTGTGTGTCTGCTTGCACGTACACAATTATTTACACAGACACACAGAATATGCTTACATATGCACCAGTGATCCCTGGAACAATACCAAAGGAAGTGGCAAAAATTCTTTTCTCTGGGAGGGAAAATAAAGCATGGAAGGAAGGAGACTTCTAATAAACATACTTGTGTTATCTGACTAAAAATACTGTTGACATGTGAAAGTGTTACATATCCAAAACACTTACCGGGACGCTAATAAAAAAAACGAGTCTTTAAAGAGTGAAAGAAAATGACCAAGAGTAAGGGACTGGCCATTTGTGTTAGATAAAAAATTCAGCCAAGTTATGAAGTGGTGTGTTGGCATAACTCTTCCTTTGGCAGGCTGTGGTGTACTGCAAGTGGTTTGAGACTTCAAGTGTCTGTAAGCTTTATAGTAAGAGATGTTCCTCTAAACTCTGTGCATATGCACTCACCCTTATTTCTTGTGTGCTTTTTCTTACACGTATACTCACTTTAGAAACTCTGAAAAGCACAAGTCTGTACCAAGAAGGCAAAAAATGAATTACTCAGGTAGTTATTGTCAACTACTGATAACCACAACAAATATTTTCCTTCCAATTCTTCTATTCTTTTTTATTTGCTTGTTTTCACATAGTTAGGAGTAGTCTGTATGTGCTATTTTGTAATTTTGCCATTCTTTCTCTTTAACATCACATTAAAATCACTTTCTCACATTACCAAACACAACTTTTACTGGCTAAATAAAATTCTGCACCTACTGAGACAATTTGCTCCTTTTTTAATCTGGTGTTGTGACAAATTAGATGGATTGGGTTTCTCTACTGTTAAACCAATTCTGCACTCTTGGAATAAGTCCAACTTGGTGATGTTGTATTTTCTCAATAATATGCTGGACTTCGTTAATACGGTGTTTAGGGTTTTCAAATCTGTATTTGTAAGACAGCTATCAAAAATTTCGTCTTGTGTGGTCTTTACTGGGGCTTGGCATTAAGACTATGACTGCCTCTTTAAATGAACTGGAGAAGATAAGCTTTGTTCTAGGTTTAAAGCAGCTGATGTAAGATTAGTTATTTATTCCCTCACTGGAGTTAGCCATGATGTCATCTGGGACTGGATTTTCTTTGTGTAAGGTTTTTAGTTACTAATTCAACTTTTCAAAATAATTATGGGAACATTCAGGTTTTCAATTTCTTTTAGTGTCAATTTTTGATAAGTTGTCTTTTCTTAGAAATTTGTTATTTTCAAAATTTTGAAATGGAGTTTTTAAAATAACCTTCTGTTACTTGTCTAATGACTGTAGGACCTGCAGTGCATTTTCTAGTCAATCTTGTTACTATTAGTATTTTTCTGTTGTTTCCTCTCCTTGTTTTTAATCCATCTCATCAAAGTTTTATTGATTAGTTTTCTTCGAAGAACTAACTCTTCCATTAGATGTATGATTTTTATAAATTTCTGCTCTTAGCTTTCCTTTTAGGTCTCTTTTTAAATTTTCTTTTTTTAAATTTTGAAATAGGGTCTCGTTACGTAGTTCAGGATGGCCTTGAACTCATAGTGATCCTTCCGCTTCAGCCTCAGGAGTCCTGGGGCTCGAGGTATGAGCCACCATGCCCAACCTCTTCTCTAATTTTCTGAGCTGAATGCTTACCTCATTATTTTTTAGCTCTTCTTTTGTAATATAGAAAAGACTATAAAGTTGAAGGCTATGAAATTTCCTTAAAATACTATTTTAGCCATATCTCAAAATTTCAGTAGAATTTTCATTTAAGAAAACTGTATATGTATCTCCCCCCTCGGCACTGGATATTGAACCCAGGGCTTTCACACTCAAGCTACATCCACAGGCCTCCCCCACTTTTAAATTTTGAGACAGAGTCTCAATAAGTTGCTAAGAAGCCTAGGCTAGACTCGAACTTGCAATCCTCCTGCCTCTACCTCTGGAGGCCGCATTATAGGTGTGTACCACACCTGGCTAATTTTTTAGAAAATTATTTCTTTTTTAAAAACCATAGCTTCAGAAGCTTATTTCTCAATTTCCAAACATATGCAGTTTTCCTAGTTTTTTTTCCCCTTGATTTCACTGTGATCAGAGAGCACATCCTACTGGAAACCAACCCTGCATAATTCTCCAGTATAAGGATAGACATAAATTATCTGACATTCATATTGTGTTAGATATTAGAAAAAATACTGTGAAGCTGGATGTGTTGGCACACGCCTATAATCCAAGCACATGGGAGTCCTCCTAAGGCAGGAAGATTCTGAGTTCAGGGTCAGCCTGGGCTACAGTAAGTTTAAGGATGGCCTAGATGACATAGTGAGACCCTCTTAAAAACAACTCCCCAAATTAGAAATAATACTGGGGAAAACTATCATTATGCTAGGTGTGATGCCACATGCCTGTAATTCCAGCAACTCAGAAGGCTGAGGCAGGAGGGTCACAAGTTCAAGGCCAATCTGAACAATTTATCAATTGTTATTTATCAATAACTGTCTCAAAATAAAACATAAAAAAGGATATTTGAGATATAAAAGGGTATAGCTCAGTGTGAGGGCCTTAGTTCACATCTCAGTACTGCAAAAAAAAAAAAAACCCCAAATAACTCCAGAAACACACACATATACATACAGATACACACAGCAAAAATTTATCATTTTACATAAATACTTGCTGCATTTTCAGTATTTTCTCCTCAAGAGAGACTTCCAAAAACAGAAATACAGGGTAAAACATTTTAAAGTCTCCTGATGCTTACAACTAAGCTATGCTGAGTTATACTACTGTTACCAGAGTTTAAGGATGCCTATTTCCTTGTATGCATTCTCCCCATCCATGAAGGTTCTTCTTTTGTTTGTTTGTCTTTTTGAGACAGGGTTTCGATAAGCAGTTCAGGCTGGCCTTGAGCTCACTCTGTAACCCAGGCTGGCCTTGAATTTGCAGTGATCCTCCTGCCTCAGCCTCCCAAGCGCTGGGATTACAGGCATGCACCACCATGCCCGGCATAAGGGTTCTTTTTCAAGGAGTTGGCTTGTTCAATAGGTGGAGTAAGTCACATTTTGGTTTAAAATGTTTATATATAGATTGTTGATAAGGATGAACATTTTAACAAATGTTTCCTATTTATGTGGATTTTTTGGGACAATTTGAGAATCAGTGATTTTTATTTGTGTTATTTACATAAGATTCTTTTTTTGGGGGGTCTTTTTGAGACAAGGTCTCACTATGCAGTTCAGGCTAGCCTTCAGCCCATTGTGTATCCCAGGCTGGTTTTGAACTCACAACGATCCTCCTGCCTCAGCATCCCCAGTGCTGGGATTACAGGTGTCACTACCATGCCCAGTTTATATAAGATTCTTATAGCTTCAGTTGCATACTATGACCAACCTGCCTTAGAGAGTTTGCTGCCAGTTGCCAAGAACCCGTTTTGCTTTCCTGGTGAGCTGTGAGGATACCGCTCCAGAAGAGGCCACAGGAGCCCTGGTCAAAGAGCAGTAGGCAGGTCTGGCTTAGGGGGTTGGTGGCAAGAATGGAGAGCTGCTGCTGATTTCCTCATTCGACCTCCTGCAGTGCATGGTCATTATGAGGGTAGTGAGTTAGTGAAGGGCAAGTTGGTATGCGTCGGCAACACCCTTACAGACCTGACAGTCTAGTGCGGAGACAGACACTAATCAATCCCTGAGAAAAACACACAGTTAGAAGCAGAAGCATGTGCAGTGAAGAGTATATGCTCTACAGCAGAACCACAGGCTGCCAAGTGAGGGATGATCGGGCTCAGGCAGCGGGGACAGGGAGGTCACATTTAACCTGGGACGGAGGATGAGAGTTAAGCAGAATGAGGAAAGAGTGTTTCAGGTGGAAGCAGTGGCCCTGTGAAAACCCTGGAGCAGGAAGGGTGGCACAGCATGTTGCCGCAGTTGCGGTTTTCACACACTGCTTTCCCCTTCAGTCAGTGGGAGAGAACAGAGGCAGCAAAAACGCACAATTTAGAAGCCCTGAGAGAGAACAAAAGAAACTAACAAGTTTTTAAAGAGTTCTTGACATGGCACTAGGAATGACAACTTCCTTTTGCTGAGAATATTTAAAGGGTTAAAATTCTCTAAAGCTTGACGCCTGAACAGTGATCCTAAGAGGGCCAGTTGCTTTACATAGAAAATAGTTTTTGCCTCAGCAAAGTCCTGATGTTTCTAAGCTGTTTGCAGGGCTGTTCCTAACTTAGGAAGACAGAGCTCAACAGACAAATATTAATCACTGAGGCCTAAACAGGATGTGGACTCTGCCAAACAGCACAGAATCTATCATTTCACTTTGGGATATGTTTCTGGCACCAAGGCTGCGGTCTGCCTTGGGAAACAGTCACTTCCAATCTGCCTGGGGAAGCCAGGCTAGTGAGTGTTCCCAAACACATGGGCCTTAAAGCACGTGTGCAACGGACAAAGCGGGCACGGAGCGAGGCGGCCAACGTACTGTTCTCGCGGACCAGGCAGAACTCCCACGCGCTCTGGCTCTCCAGCGTGCTCTCCAGGTCCACGGCGATGTTGGGCTCGCTCTGCTTCTCCAGGCGGTACTGGGGGCCTGGAAGATCAAAGGGGCAGGAGGAGGGGAGGAAGTCTGAAAGAGTGAATTTAACATTTAGAAATCACCACATCTTGGTGAAAGCTGGGAAAGCCGAAGGAAAGTACCGAAGTCTGTCTCGAGGGCCTAGCTAAGCCCACAGAAGGACTTGGGGTCTTCCCCACAAGATTCCCCATTTATCTGTTCCCACTCAGTTCTCCCCCAGTCAGGTCAGAGGTAAGTGGCTTTTGAGGAGTCACACATGGCGACTGTTTCTCAGTATGAGCGGGTAACCTATCGTCTATGGACCTCTTTCCTAGTGTGTACGGTGGGGATCGACATCAACCTTGAAGAATTATCGAAGGATGACCGTGAAGATCAGAGATGGCATAGGAAAAACACATAGTAGTGTACCTGCCAGGTAGGAGGCACTCCTTCAATGCTGCTTACTATTAATGATTATCATTTGAGTGAATTGGTTAGGAATAAGGTATTTTTAGAACTCTGATATGAAAGTTCAAAAATTGAAGCAATTTTTTTTTTTCAAAACGTGAACGTTAAGAAAACAAATTTCAGGTTTCTGGGTTACGGTGATAGACAGTTGGCAGGCTGCTGGTTCGCGTTTTTGTTGAAACATTCATGAAAACATGAGAGACAAAGGTTCAGTAATCTTAGAGGCCGGGAATTCTAGCCATCTTGCATCACACAGAAGATTCTGAAGATCTTAATGAAATATTGGCGTACTTTATTCATTTATTCATGCATTTCTTCATCAACCAAAATGACAGTGTTGTTGTTCGCAGGGACCTCCTAACAGGCCCAATGACCAGAATCAAATGACGGCTCCTGTGATTTGCTAGGGGTTACTGAGAAGATGAGAGGCACAGGAAACCATCTGAAAGGTGCGTTTGCTCAGACAGGAGCGAGGGATCCGAGGAGAGCGGGAGAGGCTGTGCTGGGCTCCAGGTGGAACACGTATTTTTACATACATTCTTCAGCTGTTGTCAACTTGTTGATTATTCACGTCTAGTACTTCCTCATTAATCTTTTCTAGTAGCTTTCCTCTTCCGTGTTATGTGTTCCTCTGTAGCATTGTGGAGATTTATTTTATTTTCAGTTTGTTTGATCTTTTCTCTAATTGGAATTTCATTAGTACTTCCAACAGAGGTCCTAACAGAGTTCTTCATGGAGTTCTTACATATACCCAGTCCCTTTCGGACTGTTTAAATAAATACACATGCAGAAGCCTACACAGCTCTTTGAAAACGTCATGCACTATATTTAGATCAAGAAGGCACTGTGTTTCAACATCATACACAGTAGGGTTCTAATTTCAACAATGTGAAGTAAATAAGAATATGGAATGCAGGTCATTCTCATAGTCCCTATTACCTGTCACACATCAATGCTGACACCTGTCAACTGACAGGCATGTTTGCTGATCACTGGATATGTGCACAGTCATTGCTAGAAGTAGTCACAGAAAAATCACACTAAGCCAAACTTTTAGACAACCTAGCCGTGGGCCCATTTAGGTCATTGCAAGAAAGGAGTCACCCCTGAACTTGGAGAGCTGCTTTCTAAGACACTGGTCTGGGAAATCATCTCATGGCCTATAGCTTACAGCCCCAGCACTTCCTAGCAGCACAATGTGTGAGACACTGACACCACTTCTCTGAATTTACAGTGAAGTGAGGGTATAAAGTTTAGCTATAATACAGCCGACCCTCCAGATCCAACCAATCATGGATTCAAACTGTTTAGGAGAAAAAAAACCACACCCATACTGAGTATGTACAGACTATTGTAATTATTTCCTAAATAATGCAGTACACAGCATTTACATAGTATTAGGCACTGTAAATAATCTAGAGATGACTGAAAAGACAAGCATAGGTTCTACACAAATGGTATGTACCATTTCATGCAAGGGACTTGAGCATCTGCAGATTTGGTATCTGTGAGTGTGGGGGTCTGGAACCAGTTCCCCAGAGGGACAACTGTGGGACAACTATAATTCATTTAAAAAATAGTCAAGGGCCTGGGATATAGCTCAGCGGCACAAGCACCTGCCTGGCAAGCACAAGGTCCTGAGTTTGATTCCTGGTACCAAAAAAAAAAGACTATAAAAAAGTCAAAATGTGTGAACAACTCATGTCTATCTAACAACTGAGCAATTACTGAAATACCATGAAGATATTAAGAGTGATCCTACAAAAATATATATATGTTTTGGTGTCGGGAATTGGTAGATCCCCAGCACCACTACAAAAATATTTAATACAGCAATTATGCACAATATTTGCAGGATGATTAGAACTATAAAAAATATATGTAAGTGCATAGAAGATAAAAAGACTAGAAGCTTCTTTTTAAAATGTGAATACTGGTGAATTATGAGTGCTTTTGTTTTTCCTTTGTATTTTTCCATACTTTAAAAATTTCCTAACAACAAAGGCTACCTTAGTTGTTTAAAAAAATATCATATATACTCAAAGTTCCCTAATTCATTACTATGTCATTTTTTCTGAAAATATGTAATTATCACACATCGTGGCATCTCCAATGGGTTTTTCACATGCAATAATTTAATCAAACGCAGACAGGACCTGTTTATGCAGACAGAGATTTTCATCACACATAACCCTGTGCCCTGGCATGGGCGCTCTGGGAGTAGTGCACAGGGCCCTGGGCTCCTGAGCTGTCAGCCCACTGACACTGGATCGTACACACTCCTGCCCTTTCCTGAGCAATGGAAGCCAAGGCCTGGCAGCATCGGAGGGAATTTCAGGTTCCTTCTTCTGCACATGTTTTCCTTCCAGTTTGTGTGGCTGCCTGGGAAACATGACCCAGGAAGCTGGGGTGAGGGGTGGGGGGGCATCAGGGAGTACTAGGAGGGGTCCCTACCCCCATGATTCCCTGACCTACTCTCAAAGCTTTAAATGCCATTATTTTGACATTCACCCCCTTGTTTGTTGGGTCCTGCATATATTTCTATTAAATCAGTTTGTCTCCTCAGAGGATGTTTTAGGACTTTCTCCTTGAATCCTACTATGATGACTTTTTTTCCCTTTCTTTCTTTTTGAGACAGGGTCTCACTATGCAGTTCAGGCTGGCCTTGAGCTCACTCTGTAGCCCAGGCTGGTCTCAAACTTGCAACAATCCTCCTGTCTCAGCCTCCCAAGTGCTGGGATTACAGGCGTGCGCCACCACGCCTGGCCCTATGATCACTTTTAATTCTGCTTTTATGTTCATTATGTGCCAAGTTTGCTCTGTATGTCCTTTCCTTGAATTTTTATAGCAACCCTGAGAGACAGACACTATCCTCCCCATATCACAGATTTGGGCTTTATGGAGTAACTTGCCCAAAATTACAAAGGTAGGAAGTAGGAAGGAAAAAACCCTAAGGGTCTTTGGACTCTTTAGAGCTTTAGCCTGTATGCTTTGAACCCTTCTCTTGCAAACTGTAAATTACTGGCCAATTATAAAGAGGCCATAGTTTATACTATAAGTATGGATTTTTGTCGATTTGTGAATTCATCTGGGTTCTGAATCACTTAATTTATGGTTTCTATAAATTCAAAATGAAAATGATCTGAAATAATTTATTTTAATGAAATCTACACACACCAAATATCCCATGCTATGGCTGTATTCTGGATCCATGGTAGGACAAAACCCCCTATGAAAATATAATCATTGGATCTTTCCCCCACCAGGAAGACCCTGCCATCTTTCCTTAAGGGTATTCCTATCCAAGCTCAGTTCTGTCAGTAACTGAAATTCTGAATGTTGCTTTCTGCCCTGGGTACTCCCTGCTCTTCCATACAAGTAAAGAACAATTTAGAAACCCACTTCTGAACTCATCAAAGGACTGAGTCATCTTGACTTTAGGGTAAATGGGATGGCACATTAGTTATTTTTCTCTTATTGCTGAGACAAAATACCTAGTGCCCAAAGTTAAAGGGAGAAAAGGTTTATTTAGCTCAGAGTTTGTAGAGGTTTCAGTCCTTAAGTGGCTAGCTCCAAGACAGAGTGGCATGGCAGAGGGGCATCACAGAGGAGAAACAGTTCATGGTGGGCAGGAGGTAACAAAGCAACAAGGGACAACCACAGTGCTTTCTGTCCCTGAAAAATCCAGGCTACTTCAGGCAGGTAGCATTCACACATTTAATCCTAGTACCCTGGACCGTAGCATTGCACCACAAATCAATCCCAGCATCACACACTCTAGATCCAGTCACCTCTGAAAAAGCCCCATCTATGACCGCATGAGGCTTTGGGGAGACATCTAGCCACAAGTCATAACAGGTGGGTAAGCTAAGTATGTGATTCAGGATGTAAACTCCAATGGAAAATTGCCTCTTACAAATCCATACTTCTCTCCTTAATTCTTGCCTGAATACTACTAGTTAAGAGATCTCTCCAAAAAAGACTGCTTCATACATTTCCCCCAGAAAAAGGCCGGACTGATCATTTTAGGCCACATGGTGTGATGAGAGGACACTGGATATCCAGTGTGGGCCTGTGAGCTCTAACCTTGTGCCAGTTTACTTAAGCTCTGTCAGTTTCTTCATCTATACGCTTGGGCAATGATAGAACTACCTAAGAAACCTGTCAGAAGAGTCAACAAGCTAAGAGTTGTAAAGCAGTGCCTGACACAAGGAGTGTTAAGTGTCAGCCATCATTATCCTCATCATGGCACTGCAGCAGCATCAGGAGATGATAATCCTGATCATTTACCACCACCACGGAACCTACTATGTGGCTACAGATCATCTCATTAATCTTTAGTCACTATAGGACATAAAGAATATGAACCTTATTTGACAGAGGAAGAAACTGATTACAGAGGCTAAATAACTTGCCCGATGTCTTTCAGGAAGTAGTGGAACTAGAATTTCCAGTGGAACGCCCAGGCTTATATTCTCTATACTCCAGTATGAGCCAAAGCACATCACTCATACCAAATTCTTAATAATGTCTGTTGATGATGATCAAGATTATGATTACCTGGACCA